TCCACAAATACTAAGATTTATTAGGATATTGGGTATTTATACTCTGCTATAAATAACTAAGGCCTGCTTTTACCTTTCTCAAAAAGACCAATACACAAATCTAACTAAATAGCAAGACTTTCCCTTTTATCTTTCAATAAAATATTATTTCCAAAATTGTACAAGCAAATAAACCAAGTTATTCACAGTGGCTATGTAAGGGTGGAGTGACTAAGGCAGAAGTCATCTTGTTTTCTGAAATTTCTGTAATATGTATAAGTGACTTTTACAATAAAAATATTTTGAATTATCATTAAACTAAATTATTATGGGAAATTCCATTGTACCATCATCCTAGAGCTCTGAATAAAAAATGAATCCTTTCTATTTTTATTTCTAAAAGAAGGTTTAGAATGTTCTCTTTGTAATTACATGACAATTATCTTCAATGACATTGAAATAGGCTTAAAGTCTTTACCCAAATCCAAATAGTAGAGGTTGGATCAAGGCCAGGGAGATTCCGTTCCCTTGTCAGAGCACCAGGTACTCTGTTTTACCTCAAACACCTGCCCCTCATCCTCATTGCCATGCCCGCCGCCTTTGTTCAGTCCTCCTTCTTTGGCTCTTAGGTTATTGCAGTGGTCTCCTTGCAGGGCTGGGTTGGGTGTGCCCCTTGCCATCCACCTTCCACGGTGCAGCCTGAGTGATGGTTTGAACATGCCAATTGGATTGTTTGCTGTCTGCTTTAAGTCTTTCAGTGATTTTCCATCACATCCTGGCCTCCTCCACAGACACCCATCCACCTTGGGTTAGACCATTTTTAGCTTACTTCTGTCTATGAATATTCTCCCCTCTTTGTTTTACCTAACTTCAGCAAGTCTTTCAAAATGTGGGTCCAGCCCACTCCACCCTGTGTCTTTAAAGACTTCCCATTCTGATTTCACAGACTTCCTCTGCTCCCAAATCATGCCCCACAGGCCCCCCATAGCATTTGTCACTCTGTAGTGCCAATGTCAATGCACATCCCCCAAGCAATGAGCCACCAGGTATAAGCAACCTGCAGTCAGGCTGTGGTCATATTCAGCCTTGCTTCTCCAGGGCTTAAACTTTTCTTGCACATGGCACTTGGCAGAGTTTTAAGGAACTTATAAATATTAACTCATACAATTCTCATAGCAATGCGTGGTTGTTAGAAGAGCATATATAGATTGAGTGTCCAGCAGGTGTTGGATGCAATTTTAGGCACTGGGGAGTCAGAAGGGAACAGGGCACACAAACTGCTAATCGCAGTGAGTTTATAATCTGTTGAGGCAAATGGATGATAAATAAACAGGTATATAATACAATACAGGTGGCAAATACAAGGCCTGTGGGCCAAATCTGGCCCTCCACCTTGTTTTATCCGGCGTGGCACCTTGTTTCTACCCGGCGGCAGCGCTGAGCTCTTGCTTAACTGTTAAGGAGTCACATTTATACAGTCCTAAAGTTACATTCCACCCTTTGAAAGCAACCTTGAGGCTGATGTGGCCCCTAGGGAAAATGAGTTTGACACCCCTGCTATAGAGTATATGACAGAGAGAAGTCCTGCGTGGCTCCAGGGCTTTGGTGTATTGGTGGGCTGGCAGAGGCATTTACTGAGATGAGACAACTGAGGGAGAAACAGCAGGAAGGGTAGGAAATGAACATTCTGTTTTGGACCCACGCGTCTGAGTGGCTGCTAAGATTCAGTTTTGTCTTCTATGAAATGGAGATAATGTTTGTTTAATACATTTCTAATGAGAATCAAATGTGATCATTTCTTTTGATATTCAGAGGTGTCTAACCAGCAGCCTGTGGGCCACATGAGGCCCAGAATGGCTAGGAATTCAGCTTAACACAAAACTGCAAATTTACTTAAAACTTTTTTTTTTTTTTGCTCATCAATTTGTGTTGGTGTTTGTGTATTTAATGTGTGGCCCAAGACAACTCTTCTTCCAGTATGGCCCAGAGACACCAAAAGGTTAGACACCCATGTTGGAAGGTTTATTTTATTCACATTGAAGCTAGGAGTGAAGTTCCATTTAAAAGAATACAAAACTCCTTACCGGCTAGATAATGCTGCACTTACACAACTGTCCTCATATCAAGAAATGATGTTGGTAACAGACCTACTCTACATGCTTATTTAACATTTATATAGAGTTTACTATGTGACAGACACTACTCTAAGGACTTTATAAAAATTAACCCTCATAATTCTCTAAAATCCTTTGGAGTGTATACCATTATTACCTGATTTTACAGATGAAACTGCAGCAGAGAGGTAAAATAACTTAGTTAAGGTTCTACAGCTACTAAATGGCAGGGGCAGGAGTCAGCCACTGGTGCTCTGGCTCCACTTCTAACCTCAATGCCAAGCTCCACATCCCCTGTTCCCTGTGAGCAGCGTCATCTCTGACATGTGATCCGGCCTCTTGTGTACTGAGAGGGAGCCTTGTGTCTATCTGACAGCATTGCCTGCACCCTTGCCCCAGTAGGCATTCCTGCCTTGGTTTTTGCAAACTGCTCAAAAGAAGCCTGTCAATACTGATGGCGATACCTCCTTTTGTCTCACACCTTCCCCAGCCACTGGCAGCCACCCAGAACATTCAGTGTCCTCTGTGCCTTTCTTCTAAGGCCCGGAGGTCAGCCTCCTCCCCACATTGCCACACACAAGTTTTCTTGGTGTCCTGCACTCTCCACTGTGCCCTGCTTCAATTGCAAGTTGTTACAAGTTGTTTTTGGCTTGCAAGCACAGGGTCTGGCACAAATAACGGCCCTTTTTATTACAAAATCATAAGCACTCAATTATGTAACATAATATCACACTCAAGCACACTATATGACATTTTAGGTAAAATGTTTGAATTAAAACTATAAATTATTACACATATATTACTACCCTACCAAACACACTCAAGCAGGAATTACTTCTCTCACACTCTGTACTTACCACGTTATCCACTCATGATTTGAGGCAGACGTGTGCTGCATTGAGCTGACGGGTGAAGACAAGAGATAAACAAGACAGAACCCCTGACCTCTCCAGAGATTTTGAGCTAGAGGCGAGGTCCCTTGCCTCAGTTTTGGGTCTCCTCTCCCATCACCAAGTGGGCGCAAAGCAGACATTCAATGAAGATTCATTCATTTATTTAGCAAATGTTTGTTGAGTGCCTACTACATGCCAGGCAGTCAGTGAGATAGGTCCTGAGGAAATGGCGGGAAACCAAGTAAGCTCAGGGTCCCCAAGCTTGAGCCTCCCCCTCCACCGCGGTACTTGTCAAGGCTTAGGTACTTGTCAACCGGGTACAAGGAAGGTAGTGGAGGCCATGTGAAGCGGCGGTGAAAGGAGCCATTGAGCCAAACCGAGGGGCTGGTGTGGCATCTGGTCAGGGTTACCCCTGCGTCTCTCAACAGAGACGTGGACACCCGTGTGCTGCAGCTCCTTCCGGGACCCCTGCCCGTTTGAGGCCACTAAGTACAACAGCGTTTATGCAGACGTCGGCCTCACGGGGGAAAGCAGAGCTAGATTTCCAAGACAAGAGTGTATGGGAGGAAGGCGCTGGGCCACGAGTGCGCGAATGGAGGGGTGGCACACGACTGGAGCAGGCTTTTAAAATTTTTTTTAATTAAAAAATTTTTTTTGTTGTTTTTAGTAGAGATGAGAACTCTCCAGTTCATCGCTCCTTTGGAGTCAGGTTTCTAATCCCAGGTCAGCTGTTTACCTGTAGTGTAACCTTTCCCACGTCACTAAACGTTCCCAGGACTCAGTTACATCATCGGTTAAATGGGTTCCTAATAACCTTAGGGGTGGTCAGAAGATTAAAAGAGAGAATGCCTGGAAAGCTTCCCTAGTACGGTTTCCCGCACGCGGAAAAAGCTCCCGGAACAGAAGCTGTAATTACCCACTGCTCACACCTCATTGGGACCCCTGGCCCTGGGGCCAGGCACCAGCTGCTGTCTTCCCAGGGACCGCCCGCTCGTCCTCGAGGGCGCGCCCTGCCTTGAGAGATTTATTAGCTTGCTTGGGGCGGGGTTTGGAAAGAAGCGAGAAAGAGAAGAAGGTGGTGGAGGGCAAAGAAAGGGAAGGAGTGGAGGGCCAGGAGGCGAGTGAGGCGGCGCCTGGGAGGAGTCGGCCTGGGTTCCTGGGCCCCGCGCAGCGCGCACCCGGAGCCCGCCGCCGCGGCAGGGTGGGGGCGGCGCGCGGCGGCCAATGGCGCGCTGCGCAGCGGCGGGGGCGGTGCAGGAACACTCGGCCGCTGACAGCCAAACTCCCCAACTCCGCCCTCGTCCCCTCGGGATCCCGGAGCAGAGCCGGCCGGGGCCGAGGCCGCCCGAGCTGTGTTGCGAGCGAAGATGGCAGCAGAATGAGAAGGCTGGCGCCGGGTCGTGGCCTCTGCGGTCGCCGCTACCACGCTCCAGTTTAAGATCCGCGCGCGGCGCCCTCGGAGCCTCGTGCTTAGCCGGCCTCCTGGTGGCCGCTGAATTATTTCATTCCGGGCCGGGAGCGGGGGAGAAAGGGGATCCCGAAGCCGAGCCGTTCCGGGCTCTGGCAGCCTGTAAAGGCTTGTGCGTGCGACACTGGCCGGCTGCGGAAAAGACGCGGGAGAGAGCCAGTCCCAGGCTGCAGTCGCGCGGGTGCGGGGATGAGCCGGCCATGGAGTGGCCTCCGCGGGGCGCACGGAACCGGCTGGCGCTGCGGCTGGTGTGCTGCCTGAACCGAGGTTCCACGGGGTTTCGGGGCCTCGGGTGCCCTGGGGGCGTCTCTGCCGCCGCCTCCGGGAAGGACTGGAGCCCCGCGTGGCGGACACTGCAGCAGTCACTGTACTGAGGCTCCCAGAGACGGTTTTGCCTGCAGCTGGGTGCGCTCTCGGCACCCGGGCTCCTTGCCCAGGGCACGGCGGCTGGCGCACAGAGGCGAGCCGGGCACAGGACTGGCTAGAGGGGTGTGGGAGCGCGTGTTGGACTGGAGAGCCGAGCTGAAGCAGAACCAGGCGAGCCCGAGCAGCCATGCTTCCCGGGGTGGGCGTGTTCGGCACCAGCCTCACGGCCCGAGTCATCATCCCGTTGCTGAAAGACGAGGGCTTCGCGGTGAAGGCGCTGTGGGGCCGCACACCGGAGGAAGCGGAGGAGCTGGCCAAGGAGATGAGCGTTCCCTTCTATACGAGTCGCATTGACGAGGTGCTGCTGCATCAGGACGTGGACTTGGTGTGCATCAACCTACCTCCGCCTCTCACGAGGCAGATCGCTGTCAAAACCCTGGGTGAGCGGCCCCTCCCCCACTTCCCTGCCCCCGACCCCGCCCGGGTCCCCCTCGCCTCCTCTCCTTGCCTTTCCCTCAGCTTTTCTCCTTTCTCCCACTCGTCCTCCCTGCAGTTTACATGGCATTAACACGGACCTGAGATCGCACATCCCACTCGAGCGCCCTCTTCCCTCATCTTTGGCCCGCCCCAGCTCTGCGCTTCCCTCCTCCCTTCTGGCTCCACCTGGGCGCGCTTCCCCACGTGTGTGGCGCTGAGGCTAGAGGAGGCGTGTGTTCTAGGGATGAGGATGAGGCGGATCAGATGTTGGGAACTGTGAATGGTTGCTCTGAGGAAGGGAAAACTAAGTCCCCTGCTGTGTGTGTAGTGCTTGAGTGTGTACTTGCGCGCCTGTGAGAAGCGAGTGCGCGCCCAGGAACGCATGAATAAAGGGCTCCACAAATGTCTCTGGTTTTCCTGGGGCGATAGACGATCTGACGTTTAGCTGCTGTGCCGCCCTGCTAGGATAGTTTGTTACTTTCCGCCATGAGTTAGTTTAGTGTGAAATTAGACATGTGACAATCAGCCGTAATTATCTTGTCTTCGCTGAAAGCAAGGATAGCTGCAGTGGTTGGATGCCCGGAGTTGGGGGATCTATTATCTACTGGGACGTGTTCAGGCGAGGTTCATGTGTTAGTGAAGACTGGTTTGTTAAAAATCAGAGGGTTTTAACTTTCTCGTGCGGCAGTCCAGGAATTTTCTTCTGCTCAGATGGAGACTCATAGATCTTCAGTTTTTAGGGCATGGGAGCAGTAGTTCCAGAGGCACCGAACCTTTGTGTGGGAAAAGGCCCAACGGTGCCAGTTTCACGTGGAGGCAAGCAATAGTCCCTCTTGAATTCCCGTCAGGAATAGTTCTCAGGCCTAGTGTTGACAAGTGGGTTGGGATGAGCTCACCACCCCTCATCATCCGGTCCCCCACCTAACCCAGGCAGTGTGAACAATCACAGACAGAGTGCGGGCCCCATCATCTTTGCCGTGCTCAGAGGAAGAAAAAGGGTAGTGTTTTGTCCACCAGCACTTCTCACACTACCTAAGACAATCCCAAGAAGATTGGCACTCCTTACTCTCCCAAGAAAAATGTTGGAATTTTATTGGTGAGGAAAGAGACAGCACAGAATGCCACAGTAGAGAAAAATTACAAAGGAAGATTTGGGCAGGAACAGGAACAGCACCCAGAAACCGATAGTAATTTATGTAATCTTGGAACAGAATGCTTTATTTATTTGTTTGTTTGTTTGTTTGTTTTTAATGCTATTTTGTTGATTATGCTATTACAGTTGTCCTGATTTTTACCCCTTTGTCCACCCCCAACCAGCACCCCCTACTCCCTCAGGCAATCCCCCTACCTTGTTCATGTCCATGGGTCATGTGTGTTAAGTTCTTTGGCTACTCCATTTCCTATGCTGATTTTACATCCCCATGGCTATTCCGTAACTACCTATTTGTACTTCTTAATCCCTTCTCCTCTTTACCCATTCTTCCCACCCCTCTCCCATCTGCCAACCATCAAAATGCTCTCAGTATCCATGATTCAGTCTCTGTTCTTCTTGTTTGCTGAGTTTGTTTTTTACATGCAATTGTTGATAGATAAGTATTTTTTTGCCATTTTATTGTTCATAGTTTGATCTTCTTTTGCTTAAATAAGGCCCCTGTAACATTTCATATAATAATGGTTTGGTGGTAATGAACTCCTTCAGTTTTTTCTTGTCTGGGAAGCTCTTTATCTGCCCTTCGATTCTAAATGATAGCTTTACTGGGTAGAGCAATCTTGCTATAGGCCCCTGCTTTTCATCACTTTGAATATTTCTTGCCAATCCCTTCTAGCCTGCAAAGTTTCTCTTGAGAAATCATCTGACAGTCTTATGGGAACTCCCCTGTAAATAACTGACTTCTTTTCTCTTGCTGCTTTTAAGATTCTCTCTTTATCTTTAACTTTTGGCATTTTAATGATAATGTGTCTTGAAGTGGGCCTCTTTGCATCCATCTTATTTGGGACTCTGTGCGTCCTTGACTGGCATGTCTATTTCTTTCACCAAATTAGGGAGTTTCCTTTCACTATTTTTCAAGTAGATTTCCAATTTCTCGCTCTTTCTGTTCTCCTTCTGGCACCATTATGATGTGAATTTTGGACCTCTTTAAGTTGTCCCAGAGGCTGCTTATACTATCCTCATTTTTTTTTTGGATTTTTTCTTCTTCTTGTTCTGACTGGTTGTTTTTGCCTCTTTATGTTCCAAATTATTGATTTGATTCTTGGCTTTCTCCACTCTACTGTTGTTTCCCTGTAAATTGTTCTTTATTTCAATTAATGTGTCCTTCATTTCTGATTGGGTCTTTTTTATGCTGTTAAGGTCCTCACTAAGTTCCTTGAGCATCCTTATAACCAGTGTTTTGAACTCTGCATCTGATAGATTGCTTATCTTCATTTCGTTTATCTGGAGTTTTGATCTGTTCTTTCATTTGATCATGTTTCTTTGTCTGTTTGGCAGTCTCCTGTGTTTATTTCTATGTATTAGGTAGAGCTGCTTTGAACTCCGTGTTTTGGTAGTGTGGCCTAATATAGTAGGTGTCTGGTAGGGTCCAGTGGCACAGCCTCCTCTATCACCTATGTTGTGTACTTAAGGTGCATCCTTCCTGTGGGCTGAGTACACCCTCCTTTTGTAGTTGAGCCTGGGTGGCTGTTGGCAGATCAATGGGAGGGATTTACCCAGGCCAGCCAGCTGCAAGGACTGGCTGTGACCACTAACTGTCAACCTCTGCCCTCCGTGGAGGATCAGCTGTGCAGGGGCAGGATGGTGGTGCGCCCACATGTACTGAAGCTGTCCAGTGGGTGTGCAGACTGTGGGGTTTCTCAGGTGGTGCAGGCCATGGGCATCCCCACCTGTGTTTTGCCCAGGACACCCTGCCTGGGCTGTAAAGCAATCTGAGATGGGTGCTACTTGTGCTGGGCTTGGAGATTCCCATGTAAAGGCAAATTGTGAATCTAAGCTGGCCACTGCTAGTTCTGTGCCTGGGACTCACTGAAGCCAGCTGTTGCTTCTTTGATAGGATTTAGGAAGTTGTGAAGCCTGAGCCAAGACCTGCCATTCATATGGAAAGGAAGCTTGGGTGGGCCCATAAGTTGGATGGGGCAGAGTGTCAGGTTATCTCCAAGGCAGGTCGAACAGTGTTAGCCAGGTTGATGGAGTCTCAGATATGGCACCAGTTTGATGGCTCTGTGGGGGTAGGTTTTAGAAAAGCGACAATGGACTCTACTGGCCTTGATGCCAGGCACTTCACTTTCTCCCTGTGTATCACTGGTGCCTTCCAAGCTGCTACCCTGGTTCTGGAGCTCAGAGGAAGTGAGTCTGAGTAGGTGAGTCTGTGTGTGGGTTCTTAAGAGGAACTGTTTAGAGCTCTGGCATTTCTTCCACCAACTCAGTCCCTGCTGGTTTTTGCTGCCAGAAATTATGGGGACTTATCTTCCTGGCACTGGGACCCTAGGCTGGGAGGCCTGGTGTTGGGCTGGGATTCCTTGCTCCTAAGATATCCCTCCTGAACTTTTATCTACCACAGGTGGGTGTGGGACAAGCCCGTTCTGTGTCTTCACCCCTCTACCGGTCTGGATGGATGTTTTTTTTTAATTCCATAGTTGTCACACTTCCATTCCACTCTATTTTGTAGTTGCCAGACTCCTATTCAACTTCATTTCTGATGCTTCTGAGTGATGGTTGCTCTGTATTTTGGTTGTTATTTTGATGAGGTTGTGCGAAGAGGTGAGTCTCGTCTGTCTATCTCTCCATCTTTACCAGAAGTCAATCAAAATGTTTTATTTTTAAAAATGGTATGGATTTCAGGTAGGTAAATGTACATATATTTTAATTCTATCTTCAGAAGCCTGTGACAAGAATGTAGAACTCCTCCCTAAAAAAACAGTCTTAACCAGCCACTCTACTGTTGACTCTGATGGGACATCAGATACAATGGGCTGCCCAAAGCTGTCAGTTTTTAGGTGAATTTTATTATGCTTCTGACTTTCGTTGCTTGGTTTCTTTGGCCTTGAATTGAATATCACTGGATTCCGGCTAATATTTCTTTTCAGTTTCGTATGGCATATGTGTTGGGTAGTTAACCTCCATGCTTACAGTGGATCTGTGCATATCAAATAGATTATAGCCATCCTATAATACAAATCTGTTAGGACAATTTGCATAAAACAGGTCCATGTGGAGCCCCATGTCTGCTGGAGGGCATATGACTGGTCATATCAGAAAGATCGTGTTTGGCCTCCCTTCTCCCCTCCAGGGCAGCACGGGCCTGCAGGTCAGACCCACAGAGCGACTCTAGAGCGTGTGCCCAGGAGAGTGGCAGTTTGGGAAAAAAGCATCATCTTTTCTGATCATCAGTGGTACTTTAGCCATGAAAGTATTCGGGGGTACTGGCTTTGAGAGAAACGCAACTTACATATTTCTGGATACTTCTTATTATCAAAAACCCCTATGATTTTTTTTTCCTTGATAAGACCAATGTGAGGTACATTTTCAAAATCAAGTGTAAGAGACATAAGGAATAGACTTAGTTTAATACTCATGATGTAAGGAATAGTGTTTTGTTCACATCTTCATGGTAGCTCTTGGGCTTTTTTTTTATTCCTGATTTTGCAGGAATAAAATTTGACAGTTTGAGGCCATTGTGATTACAGAAAACATGGGGGCATTGGATTTAGAGGGGGCTGGAGTTTATTCTCCTTGCAGACTCCATCTTCACTGGAAACTCCTCAGAGGTCACTTTCCTTGAGTCGGGCCTGTGAGCACATGGTGGGGTGGTCATCTGGGTTTGCTCTGCTGTCACGGTGAGAGGTTTGACACATGCAACACAGGAAGTGAAACACCCCAAACAGTTATCCGGTTAGTCTGGCCGTTGGGGGTTTATAGGTGCTAGTGTTTGCTTCGAATCGAAACAAGCCAGTTTTGACCAGTCCTAGT